CAATTTCAAAGGTGCCACGACTCTTCAATTTCAAAGGTGCCACGACAATGGCAAATCATTTAGACGTGTCTTATGGCGGTTTAATTTTCTTTGAGTATAAATAGGACCATTTGTTTGAATAAGCTTTATCGCATAATCCATAAGAAAAAAAAGAGTTATTTTTTTAAGAAGACAGTTTCAAATATCTATTCGAAAAGGAATAATTGTAAGGATTATTCAGAAAGTAATAAATACTTCCATTATATCAGATGAATGTATAGTCACTTTCATCTTACACATAGATATGAAGTATTTTCTATAAAATACGTGTTATGTGTAATTATATTCATTGTTTATTTGAGATGATTATTGAATACACTGTTTTATACAAGTTATAAACTGTATATGTATTTTATCTACAAATATGTTGGGTAGAACATAGGTAGACAAAATAGTTGATGTGTGTTAAAATGATGAGAGACCTCGATGTTGTTGTTGTTTCAGTCATCTAGCGGAGTATGGATGACGACCATGGACTCTTCTAGACAGTCCAGTGGAACGCTGGCAGGCTCGCAACCTGTAGGTGTTGTGAACGATGTGTTCACCGGTGTACTCCATCCCCCTAATGGTTGCCTTTAGGACATTTATTGTTGAGGAACCCCCTTAGCAGTAGTGTCCATCCCGATGATAAAATCCTTAGATTAGGTCCCTTGTATAGGTGTTTAGGGACGTAAAGTGAGGATAACGGGAATGGGTAATCAGGGTTATTGTTGGTTGATGAAATTAATAAATTTATTGTTGATCGATGAAATTAATAAATTTATTATTATTTGTGGGTTGAAAACCCTATATGCTCACTAGGCTCCCAAGCCTAACCCACTCAGCTTTCTGTTTTACAGGTAGTGGATTCAGAGCATAATTATGATGATGATGAGGGAATTTTGGATTATAGGCCATTAGTTGTAAATAACTGTTGTAAGGCTTATAATCTACTGTTTATACTTATGTACTGTATCGAACATGACATCCCAAGTCTTTTAATGAAAGACATTTCTAAGGAAATACTTTTAATAAATCTTTGTCATATTATTGTTTTGGGACAAATTCTGCAATTCTTTTATTAAAAGGTTACTCTGATTTTGAAATAAAGTATAAACAATACTGGTCTTTTCTGGCCGTGAAAATGGGGATGTCACACAACAAGGCCCGGTTGGTGGTGAAAGTATATTGTCAAGATGAAGGTATAGATTATGAAGAGACCTTCGCTCCAGTTGCAAGATTAGAGTGCGTTTGAATTTTTCTTGCTTATGTTGCACACAAGAATTTTGAAGTCTATCAAATGGATGTGAAGTCTACCTTTCTCAACGGAGAACTTGAAGAAACTGTGTAAATTGAGTAACCTCCAGGCTTCGTGAACGAGAAGCATCTGGATCATTGCTATATTCTGGAAAAAGTCGCCTATGGTCTGAAGCAGGCTCCCAGAGCATGGTATGAAACCCTAACTCGATTCTTAAAAATGTCCAAATTTAAACAAGTTTCGGTTGACCCAACCTTCTTTCGTAAGAAAGAGGGTAACCACCTTATGATAGTCCAAATTTATGTTGATGACATCATTTTCGGCTCCACGAATCCAGGCCTAACAGCTGAATTCAGGAAGTTGATGGAAACTAAATTTGAGATGAGCTCAATGGGTCTAATTAACATTTTCCTTGGCTTAAATATTAGACAGGGACCCGAAGGAATTTTTATCAATCAGGAGGTATATACAAAGACGTTACTTTCCAAGTTTGGGATGTTAGGTGACTCCAAAGTGAAAGTCCCAATGGCTTTTGGAACCACGCTTACTCCATCATTAGAGAAGCCAGCCGCTGACATGACACTTTATCGTCAGATGATTGGGTCACTGATGTATCTCATAGCCAGCAGGCCAGACATCATGTTCTCAGTTTGCTATTGTGCTCGATTCCAAGCTAACCCTCGTGAACCACACATGCTAGCCGTAAAGAACATCTTTTGCTATCTGAAGTGAACTTCCTCTATCGGTCTATAGTATCTAGCCAACTCAGGTTTCTTTGTCCAAGCATTCTCAGATGCTGACTTAGGGAGTTATGGATTGGATCGTAAAAGCACTACGGGAGGATGCCAATTTCTTGATGGTAAATAGGTTAGCTGGCAATCAAAGAAACAAACCTGTGTTTCTCTCTCCACAGCTGAAGCCAAATATATAGCTGTTGCCTTATGCACATCTCAGGTTGTTTGGATACAGAGTCAGCTTTGGGACTATGGGCTGAATATGAAGAAAATCCCACTATATTGTGACTCTGAAAGTGCAAATAGGATTTGTCATAACCTAGTGCAACACTCGAAGACAAAGCACATAGCACTGCAGTATCACTTCATCAAAGATCATGTGGAAGACGGTAACGTAGAAATTCACTTCGTTAGAACCACTGATCAATTAGCAGATATATTCACTAAGGCTTTACCTGAAGCAAGTTTCAATAAGATTTTACAAGGCCTAGGAATGATGGAAGCAAAATCCGTACCAAAATCGCCTACACTTCACTAAAGGTAAGAAGTAAAATAGAGCGAACGCTCGGTCTATTTCTGGTTCGATTCACCCGGGAACCGAAATGAATCGAACGCTCGGTCTATTTCGGGTTCGGTCCTTCTGAACTCGTTTGCTTCTTTTTCATTAAAAGGGATTTCGGTTCTATACTATTTTCCATATTCATTTTTATGTTTTTCTTTTTATTTATTTTCTTTTCATAATATCCAAAAATATTTTCCTTTTGTTTCATTACAAATTTTTTCACAAAATAGAAAAATATCTTTTCTTTTATTTTTTTCTCATGCTTTTCTTTGTATAAATGCTACTCTCAATGGTGAAGCTCAAGCAGGTATAAATTCTTTTCTATAAATTAGTTAAGTGTCCCTAGATGCCTGTTGTTGCATGTTGACGAAAGCCTCAACAGATTTTGAGTGAAGCCTTAATAATGTGATATATACAAATCATGTTTTCCCAAACTAGGCAGTTACATTCACTCTAATCGTGAGCTACCTTTCTCTTCTTATATTGAGTTTAGATTTTTCTGCTTGGTCTTTCTTTTATAGTAGAGGTACATTCGCTTCTTAAACCACCTCCATCGCATTTCTCCATTACACTTCATCTCACTAATGTAACCCTTGAGACTCTCAGCACTTACCACTGAGGTTTATGGTTACAAAAAATCTGTGTTTATGATCTTAGATACATACATCACGTGCTGTGTGAGACCCTACATCCAACACCAATACTGAATTGACGGTGAATTGTATTATTTAAGCTTTAATTTGTTACCTGCAGAAGTTTTTTTTCTTACATAATCTTTATGAAATTGTCTAACACCAAGACATTTCTTCCCAAAAGATCTAGTTTAGATTTTGTTTTTGAGAATTCTATTCTGAATTCTGTTACTTCCAAACTATCAAACCTACTTGTTGAACAGAACACATTGGTTTCACAAGTACTTCATTCTCTTGGTCTTATATTAAGTACTGAAACTTGAATTGAAGCGAAAGCCTCCCTTACAAGCCTTATATCTAAAAGATGCCCTTCATTGCCTCTTAACAGGCACTTGATTTTATTCTAACGAGAAACCACCCAAACACTTTGAAGTCTCTCTTAACTTGAAAGGAAGAGATTCGTGCCCGGGATCCACTGTTTCATGTCTTATTCGACATCACAATATCCCACAACCTTTGATTTATTTCTTTATCAATCACACTCTATGCACAAAAATCTTTGATTTTCCAAAAGTCTGGTTCTATTTAATATGAGCTGATTTTTACAGCTTAGGTTCGAAAAGTATTATGGAGATCGATAAGATAAAGGTGATGATGGTTCATGTAGATTATGTGGGTGACGTTTCGGATAAAGCACTTGGATGAGTCAGCAATTATCCAATCGTTGCATCAATTTGAAAAAGGTACTTTTATGGAAAGGCGCGTAAAATGTGAAACATTTTTTCTCTCTCCTGTGTCATCATTGGGGTTGCCAACTATCTACTCCCCATCGTATCAGGAGCCATTTCACAAAAGGACGAGATTTTCGGCGGATCTTTCTCTCTCCTACTATCATGTATAAAAGGGATTCTCATGATCAACTTTACTCTTTTACCACTTACAAATCTTGTAAAAGAAAAAGGCAATCTCTCTAACTGTTCATCATCTTCTTATCAAGCTCTATCAATGGCAGAATCATCCTCTATTCAAGATACCTCTATTCACTCAAACCTTCTGACCATTAAGCCCCAACAAAACCTCATCATTGACGTTACACCATTTGTTTATGAATTCTATATGTTGTACGTGGTAGAATGCCTCAAATATTCTCCATTTTTCACTGCTCTTACAAAGGTGGAAATGGTTCCTATGTCTTACCTCTCTATCATCTTCTCAACCGCTTACTATGATAAGGTTGCTGAGAGGATTCACTTTCACATTCACAGCAACAAGACCTCAATTTGTAAGAATCGTTTATGTGCCCTACTTGGTCTTGCTTATGAACCAACCCTGGTAAATCCTGACTCCATCACTACCGGTCAGATATTCTCGATGTTCTACCAAATGGGGTACACTGAAACCCTAACCACTGTTATGAAGTTCAAGAAGTCCTGCCGTCCCCCACAATGAAACGAACTCTTTACTCTCTTGTTAAAAGGTCTTTCTGAGCGAAGCGCTGGATCCGACGGTGCAAGCAAGTCTTTTATGACTATCCTTATGGGTTGTACAATGGTGTAAATCTGGATTTTGGAGCAGTCATATGGCAACAACTTGTTCAGAGTTTAACTTCTTCTTCTCGCCATTCTGAGATATCATGTGGCAGGTACTGGTCTATTATCACAAGGTAGGCAATGGATTGTCTTCACATTCCAATCATGGCGAACTCTCTTTTCTCATCCATCGCAACATTTCACACAATGAAGAATATCATTACTGATCCATCCAAGTTTATCTTCATTGGATCGATTCTAGAAGCCATGTATGCCTATGTGTCTGAGGCAAGTAACATTATTGAAGAATTCAAGAAGCTTCCTGCTTCAGGTCCCAGGGAACTCACTCCTGCCATGATTCTTTCTATAGAGGAAGCAGATAAGCCTGCAAAGAGGGGAAAGAAACAAGATAACATTAAAGGAGCTAAGGGGAAAACTCCAAAGAAACGAAAGACTGAGAAAGCAACACCTTCACAGCCCAAGCAGAAAAAGATAAAGAAGCCTGCTCGGAGGCTTATTCTTCAGTCTTTGAGTGATTCTGAATCTGATTATGTTCCTATTGGACATAATCGACCATCTCCTACTGCATCTGAGAGCGAAAGCTCTGGTGAGGAGGTTTCGGTTCGTGGTGATACCCCTCCTCGCTCGCCAACCCCAGAGGTACCTATTCGCTCTAAAGCACCTTCTACTCCACTTGTTTCCATTCCTATTTCCCTTCCTTCTACTTTCCCAGTTATCACATCCCAACCTTCTTCCACTATTCCCATACCAACACCCCTTTTTGTTAACGCTACCACTACCACTACCACAGGAGTTCAAACCAACGTATCTGATACGAGGGTTTGTTCTTCTCCACCCGAAATCCCTGTCCCTAATAAACCTCAATCTCCTACCCATTCAACCGAAACCAACACCGTTCTTGGAGGTGAGGACTTGGAGTTTGATTCCACTTACTTCAGTCCTTATCGTGTTCAGAGCGACGATGATGATGATGCTCCTATCACAAAGCGACATCTAAAGGCTGTGACTGATAATCTTGATCAGTTACTTTCCTCTTCCTCTTCCAATCCTTACTCATAAGGTGTTCTCAAGGCCCTCTTCTCTTCTGCAGTTAAGGAGCATGACACGTCTATCTCCAATGCAGTGAAGGCCATTGATGCCTCAACTTCTCAATGTCATAAGGGTTCACTTGCAGTGGAAACCTCTACTAAAGAATGCAAGGAAGTGACAACAAAAGTCGAAAAACTAATCTCAGAAGCTCAAATCTTTCTCGATTCCCTTCAAGTTGCTGCTCAAAAAATGCTAACACCGTGACTGCTTCGGTTGATTCACTTAAATGCCCATTGGAGGTCGAGCTGTCCCAACTTGGTGTGGCTCGAAAAGCCATTGAAGATGCTAATGAAAAGCTTCATACCAAAGTTAATGAACGGTTGACTACTCTTGAGGCAGAGCTTGCAGTTGAAAACAAAGTTATGGATGAGTTGGACAAGTGAACCTCTCAGCCCAAAACTCAGAACCTAAAGCTCCGTACTGCAACTAAAGAGCTTAATGATCTCAAATCGGAAATAGAAGTGATTCGCAGTTCAATTGGTGATGTCCATTCCATCCTACTTCATCTTCTGGATGCTCATCACTCAATCTTAACGATCTCCATTCGCCGTCACTTGCCTGAGAACTACGTTCGGCCTTGGCTATTATTAGTCGAATTGAAGGTGTTTCGGACACTGCCGTTCTTCCGAAACAAGGGGGAGAAAAGAAATCCCAAGGAGGCAACATTGACAAAACTCAACCTCCACCTCCTCCAGAACCGAAAGCTACTGCTGGACCGAAGGATAATGAAGCTTCAGCCAGTAAAAGTCAAAAGAAAATGAAGATTATTGGTGATGATGATGAAGACGATGATTCTTATGATATCGTTACAAGCACTCCATCCAAGCCTGAGACAAAATTCAAGCCTTCTGAGCAAGAGCTTCGGGAGAAAATGAACAGGTTGGAAAAAGAAATGAAAGAGAAGGAACTGCTTGATAAAAGGAAATCGATGTTTCCCGAATGGACTATTGAATCTCTCCACAGGGAAGTCATTGATGAACCGAGCACTGTATGGCTTGAACCTGTTTTATCATTCAGTATTGAGAACTCGAAGGACACTCATTTCGACATGCCAATCAATCAAAAGACATTTATCTTTCACTGCTTTGCTTCGATTGTTGTCGTTCCTTCTCCAGACCCGAAGGTTGATCGGGATTTGCTGGAATTTTATCTGGAAATTGCTTAGCCACAATACCTAACCTGGAGCTTGAAGAAAATTAAAACGGTCAAGATATTGAAGCCCTATTCAGCTAGGAAATTCATTAATGCCAAATTCAGAGTAACTCGAGGCTCAGATAGCTCGGTTCATACTCTTTCCCTAGCTGATCTGCCGAATCTAAACCCTCACAACTGGATACTCCTCAACAACATTCTACTATGCAATCCACAGGAGTATTAGTCGATCATTGATCATATCAAGTGAATGCTTGTCTTTTACATTCATGAAGTAGCAAATATGGATCAAGAGATTGCCACTACTATTCACAAGCGAACCATGATCAAACCAATGGGAAGAGCTGGCGATATAAACACAATGATCAAGGGAAAGACTGACACAAAGTATCACACTGTGATGTTCATTAGAGGCAAAGGTCAAAATGCCTATTCGCTCTTATTGACAAACACTTGTTCTCAACTGCTTGCTTGGAACATATTTTAGAGATCATTCATAGGTGTAATTAGAATAGTGAAGCTGACAAGAAGTTGTTTACTGATATGCTTCGTTGGTATATTCGGTTTTGGCAAACGCTTCTAGCCATTATTCCTAGGTTGTTCAAGGTCGTGAAGCAAGTCAAGGTCTCACAACCGAAGTGAAGGTCCCGCCCCAATTGACGCAAAGGGGGGAGATTACTGGGCTTATAATGTTGCATCTTGGGCTCGTTCCTATTAGCCCAGTTTTGTAGCCGGTTTGGGCCTGTCCAACCATGCATTTTATTATAATAGGGTTTTAGTATTTAAGGTGCATGCATGCATCCTTTATTAGTAACGATTGAATTGTTTTCTCATCAAAGTATTGTAAACCCTAGCTCGCCTCTATAGTAGAAGTTCTTTATCGAGCTCTGCTGAGGTGTGACTATGTTTGAATCATAAGCTTCATATTGATTCTATATTGTGTTCATTGTTGTGTTTGATTGAATTGTTTGTTCTTTATTAATTTACATGTGAAAGATCTAAACGATCAAGAGATTTATTCTCATCAGGACTTCAACTCAACAATTGGCTGACCACAGCTAACTCACGCACACCACAACATAGTAGATGCTTCACTGTGGCGTGGTTACGACGTAAGAACATAAGATTAAAACTTCTTAAGACCTCATTTCGACCCATGTCTTTTCCATTTCGATGGAGAGCCGATGAGGGAGATTTTGGAGCTGGAAGGCGGCCAAGAGAAGATAAAGGTGGAGCGTATCAAGGATTTTCATCCTTTATCCATTAAGGTATGAATTCTCTAATTTGGAAAAATTGTTATTTTGGTTGAATTAAATGAATTAATCAACCTATATAGCTTGTATATGATGTTATTAAGAGTGTCTAGAAGCTTTGTATATGATTTCCATGGTGAAATCTATATATATGAAGATAGGGTTAGAAACCCTAACTAGTGAGATTATGAATGATGCATTAGAGGTTAGATTATAATGTATTAGGTAGTATATGATACTTAATTCATTATTTTGTTTGTATTAGAAGTAAAAAATGTGAATATATAATTATGATTCATTAAGTTGTCATTTTGACCATAAAAGTCATTAAGATCTTAATAGGCAAAGATAAGTATTAAGAAATGTGTAAATATGTATGAATAGGCCTAAAAGCAAAGAAGATGGATCAAGGTGCATAAATAAAAGAATGGATCTAATGATAGTTATTCTTCTCTAACTAACAAGATGAGTTATATCACACACTCTCTAGATTATTTATATACATATATATATATATACACACACACACACACACACACACTAGCTCTGAGACCCATGTATTACATGAGCTAATTTAAAAAATAGTTCAACATAAACGTCTAAATATTTAAGAACTTCGAATTTATAAGAAAATAAGAAAAATAATGAATTATTGAAATTATAATGTTTTTTAATTTTAATTTAAACAAATAATTTAAATAAGTAAACAAAAACTATTGAACTTTAATTTGGGAATTTTGAAATTAGAAGGTAAGTCCATTAATGAAATTGATATCCATTTATTATTACATTTATTGTAATTATTACATTAAAGTATTTTGTAGAGTTTAGTAAAATAGGAAAACTCATAAAATGACATGTGGAAAAGAAAATTAATTCAAAATAACCACAAAATTAAATTTGTTAAAATGAATAAGAGTGTGACATGGGGCAAAACAAATTTCATTTATTAGAGTAGATATATGTGTGTGTAGAGTAGATATGTGTGTGTGTAGAGTAGATATATGTGTATGTGTGTTTGTGTAAAGTAGATAGAGTGTGTGTGTATATATATATATATATATATATATATATATATATATGTGTGTGTGTGTGTGTGTGGTTATACGTGTAATAACATGTATCAATACATGTACGTATAATTAGAGTAGGTATGAGGTATACATTTAGAAACATGTATCAGAGCATGTAAATGTACATAGAAAAGGTATGGTTAGATGAGAAAGGTATTCGTTAAATACCCAAGAAATGGTAGAAAGAGATAGAATATGATTACATGTATTATAATCATATATATCAAAATGGTACTATATATAATACCTAAGAGATATGAGAAGAAGAATGAGATAAGTACTTAATCAGTTAAGTACTAGATGTGAGGGATTAAGTGTAAGGAATCTGTGAGAGACTTAAGAGAAGAAAGAGAATGTCAGAGATCTATGGGGGATCAAGATGAGAAGTATGAGATGATGCAAGATGAGTATGAGAAGGCATAGTAAGAGTTAGAGACATAAGAAGAGTAGAGTAAGAGATAGAAAAGAGAAAGCATAGAGAATATAGAAGAGTAGAGAAAGAAGAAGTGAAATAGAGTATAAAGAGAGATAGAAAGATGAAGAGAAGAGTAGAGAAAAGAGAGAGAAGTAGAGGCATAGATAGACTACGAGATGACCCTAAGAAGAGGCTAAGAAAGATAGAAGAGATAGATGAATGGGAAGAATAGCAGTGTACAATATTATAGAAGAAGAAGAGAAGATAGAGTACAAGAATGCAAAAAAAAGAATTCTAAGGATTGAAAAGAGATAGATGCGGTGAAAAATGTAACATAGTAGAAGAGATAGATGTGATGAGATGAGAAAGAATAACAGTGTATGCTATGAAAGGAAGAGATTAGATTGTTGAGTAAGAAAAAGAAAAAAAGAGTAGATAAACATGAAAACAGATAAGAATATAACTCACTATACTTGTGGTCTGATGTAGTAGAGGTTTTGCATGTTTTTTATGTTCAGGTAGTAGTCGTGGTACGCGAGAAGATATAGGCACAAGGAGGTAGACTCGAAGAATAAATTTTATTTCTTTGTATTCCCTTGTACCTTATTTATATAAATAGATTTTATTGTAAAGTCGTGGTAAACCATGGGATTTAATGTAACATCATCACATAGGCATACAATATATATATATATATATATATATATATATATATATATATATATATATATATATATATTGTAACACCGTAAATTTCAAGACAAAATTTTCATTTAAAATAATCATTTTACTCTTAGAAACACTTGTTTAAAATCTTATTCATAGTCGATTTACAAAACATAACTCCATTTTCACTTGCATAGAAAACCAGGATCCTCCAAGATATGACTCTTTCTCTGGTGTGTACAATCAAGCCAGTGCCGTCCCGTGATACTGAAAGAAACCTGAAAAACATCAAACAAAACACTGTAAGCACGAAGCTTAGTGAGTTCCCCAAAATACCACACATAACACATATTAGCCACTCGAGGCTATAACTCTGTGGGTCCGTGCACCCAAACTCTGTGAACCCTCAGGTTCTAACTCTGGGAACCTTCCGGTTCCAACTCTATAAACATGCACAGCATAAATCACATAGAAATAATGCAGTACAACACATCACGTACATATAGCAGACAAATACTCTAATCACATAACTCTGGTTACCTACTCAAGGTAAAGTATAGTGAGAAGACTCACCTGGCAAGCAGGAAGCAGATATCCCCACACTTGAATCTCGAACTCGCCACCGCCTAACACGTAAGGCAAATA